TCTGGAGCCCACTGGCAGTCCTGGGTACCTGGAATGCAGTCTAGAATAAGTGTCCCAGATGGATATGTCATTGGACTCTATTGGACTCGGTCTAGCCAGGAGTTTAATATGTACAAACCTGTAGATTTATCTAGAGTACTTTTTTCTTTCTTTTTCTTTACAAGACTTTGATCTTTTAAAAGATTATATTTGCTCTAATCAGATTGACAATAGTAAGACAGCATCCATAAAAATCCATATACCTTTCTTGAGACTCTAGAGATATCATAAACCATGTATCCACTGAACAGTGGTTTGTGGATGTTAATTAGGAAGAAAGATATTTCCTAAGAAAATTCCTAGAATCTTTGTTTCAAGTATTAAAATATAAATTAAACTATAAACCAGAATTTCATTATATTTAAAATCAACATATTCTCTTTATTTCAAAAATTAAATTAACACAATAAATATCTATGAGACCATGCCCAAATGCTGAGTATTATCTATAGCTTACCATTTCTTTTATTTTTAACCCTATCCTTCTTCTACAAGTGCCAATAGTAAGACCTATGCTTGCTTTTTAGAAATATAACATACATCTGTTTGAGGAAAGAAAATCCAACTTGGGTTTTCTTGGCTAAACCTAACATTTTGCAAATGATATTTTCATATTACCTTTGATATTTTCATTTTTTCAAAAATACATTTTAAAAATTATCCACATATAAGATCTAGTCATTCTTTTCCACTGCAGTATATGAGTAAGTTGTAAACATATATCTTATTTATTGTTCCATTCTCTTGCCAGTGTTCACATGGTTGTCTGCAGATGTTCTAGTCATTGTTTGACTATTCGATGTCTTTGAATGTTACAATAATGGTATTCTTTTATCTACATTGGAGTAAGTAAAAAAGTTACCAAATTTGTAAGACTGTGCCATGTATTTTTTTCTAATTGTTGAATAAATTTATACTACATTGGTAATAGTAAATAAATGATCTTACCAACAGTTTTTTGTGATGAATAACTGTAAAATTATTTCTCACCAAAAGACTTGATTAGTATTTTCCAACAACTAATATCATTATGCATTTTTTAATATTATTAGTTATTTGTGTTTTTGTCCTGTGAAATAACTATATGTTTGGTTTGCTCATTTTCCATGGGGTTTTGTCCTATCCTTATTTGTTTGAGTTTGATATTAATTCTTTGTTGGGCACAACTATTATAAAAACCTCTTGCCAAATTTTATTGCCTTTCCATTTTTGAAAGGTAATAAATATGTAACGTTTTTAATGAACATGTAGATTATAAATATTATTCTTTTATATGATATTTATACTGCCTTATTTTATTTACCCATTTAAATCTCAAAGTCAGAATAATATTAATCAATATTTTATTGTAAGACTTTTAAACTTGAGTTAGATATTTAAGTTTTTAATTGTTTTGGAGTTGATCTGTATTATGTAAGGTGATGATATACCCTATTTCATTAATTTCTCAACCCCATTGTTGAAAAATACTTCTTTCCTAAGGATCTACCCTGTTATTCCCATGATTGTAAAGTTCCATATATATGTAGGTCTGTCTTTGTGTTTGTTAACTTCATTCTTTGTTAAATTGTTTACTTCTATATGACACTGTCTTACATTTTATAGATTAATTAATTAATTTTGTATAAGATAATGGATGCTTACTGTTTTTATAATATGCCTTTAAATGTGTTCTGGCCATACTATATTCTCTTTCATCTATATAAATCTTACTATGATTTTGTCAGGTTTTTTAAATCCTATTGCAGACATTGTGAATGGGACCACATTAAATCTATAGACCACTTTGGAAAGAATTGACATTTTTACAATATTATATCTATATTTCTTAGTATACTGGAAAATTGTGCTTTCATAGTCCCATACATTTAAAATTTTATCTCACACCATGCCCAAAATTATTACATTGTAGATGGATTGAATAGATAAGTGTAAAACAAATATCAGAAGGAAGCAATCAAAATATACTAGCTTGGAAACAGCCCAAGTGTCCATCGACTGGAAACTGGATAAGGAAGATGTAGTTTTTTTTTATAAAATGGAGTAATACTCAGCCATAAAGAACGAGAAACTAGAGACATTTACAGCTAAAAGGATGCATATTGAGGCCATACTCTTAAGTGAAATAAACAGAACACACATGTGTAAATACTGAATAGTTTCTCTAGTGTGAGAAACTGAAAGTGTAAATAA